TGAAACTCAACCACATAAATACATTTACAAATACTCACTGCTTTCCAAAAGTAATACTGGGCATGTCCCAGAGCATTCCCAGTAACAGCAATCCTACCTATTCTATAATGATCTTCTACAAGTTATGAGATTCATCACAAAGGTAAGACACCCTTTTAAGGTTAACGGCAGGGCAAACAAAACTGAAGAACAGAGACATGTTGTGATGTCTTACCATAATCCACCTGAAAAGATACCTTTTTAGTTATTTTAATCTATTTTAATGTTAACTTTAGGTCTCAAACAACCAGGATACCTCCTTTCCCAATAATATAATGCTAGCTGTGTCCTCAGCTTTGCAATATATAGTTGAAATTGTCCTGCTTATCAGTCTATATGGATGACCCTTTTTTTTCACTTCACCAAAGCTTTATCCCTGACCTGTCTGTGGCCTCCACAGAACATTTGGACTTAGATCAAATTAAAAGCAACAAGGGGACATTTGGAAACTCTTGCTTGTACTCTATCTTGTTTTAGGATGATCAGATCAAATGGCTGCCTTACTGATTTTCCCTTCCATCTCACAATTTGGACTACTGTGTGTTGATCTGTAGCCTTAAAGATTCACTGAGGATTTTGCCACAAAATGTGGAAAAAACTTCATGGAGCATGAAAACTGCAAGACGCTGCAAATATCTCCAGCTTCACTGCAGATAGGCAGCCTTTAATTGACCTTCACAACACTTGAACCCCCGTCACTGGATCACAGCCCACTTGGATTGGTCTGCCACTGAAAACAAATACAGCCGCCCTCACATTTTCAGCATCTATTTCTTCAAACGTCTTTTTAATGAACAAGAGAAGTCACTCCATGATGAGCCACAAGACGCACATGCAAATACGCTCTTGGCAAGACGCACAGAGCTAGATGAGCTAAACCCTATAACGATTAAACAACCTTCATTTAAACCCCCACGCATTGAATCGTCGCTGATCAATTAGCATGATTTACAGTGGTGGCTCTGGACACCGACGCTCCTGTAAACACTGACTCTGTGTCCTATGGTGGGATAGACCTTCCTTCATCACGCCCAGGGGATGACTTGTGGCAGAATGAACAGCCATTTGGACCCTCATCCCTTTCCGCTGTGAGTCTTTGGGTGGAAATATGAGGCTTGAATCAACACTCTGATGACACTCAGCCATCTGTTGTTGTGTTAAGTGTGTTGGGGCATGAAGTGGAGAGAAAACACACAACTAATGATTTGTTCCCCCTCCTCCCAACTTTCCTTTAAAATACAAATGTGAGGTGTGCAGCTGTCGTTGTACATTAATGGACACACTAATGCAGAAGAACACACCTCCTTCCTCGGTCCCCTGGAAATAGCAGAACTGAGCCCTATTTCACTTCATAGAACCAAACTGGGGAATCTAATAAATAATAGACAGAGAGCGGGAGGGGAGTTAGCGATACGATGACAAGTCAATGCCTCTTTTCTCTCTAGTACACCTCCAAAGCACCTCTGAGTCTCCTCCATTCTTCACATGGCGAACGGAGACCAATGGATTAAAACTGCATAGCGCACACACACACACACGGCTAAAACGAACAGCTCTAAAAATACATCCCTTTCACCGAGACATGAAAGGAAACTGCCTTTCCCCTGTCCGGTATTGAGCAGCCATTGATTCCAAGACAAAGGCTACACCTCCTCAAAGAGGTAAGAAAAAAATAGCAATCATACAGGCAATTATTTTCAAATGTGCCTGCAGCAGCCGATAATGTCAGCGCGCCTCTCTCTTCCCTAAATAAGAAGAGGGGAGGGAAGGGAAGAGGAGGCGGGCGTCTGTGCTGCAGGTCTGGGTGCTGAAGACGAATGAGCCCATCAAGAGAGCGCTCAGACTTTCATCTGGGCAGCATGACACGGCGCCCCCATGCAGCGCGAGCCAGAGCTGGACCTGCAGGATAGAAGCATTCAGATAAAGACTATGTCAGCTAGTCTAGATTCTCAGGTCAGCTCAGGGAAACAGCAGCAAGGCAAAGACTTTCTAAGGCCTGTTGCCTTACTTGTAGGCCAGACGCACGGGGACTCCTCAGCCTATATAATAGCTCTGTGTACGCGCTTTGGAGCTTCTAGACCAGAAGCAGATACAGCTTTCCTTTCACTCTATCTGCAAGTCTGTCTTATACCCATGGCCTTTCATTTTGATGATAACCAACATCTGAGGATAGGGGTTTAGAAGGCTCTCTGCTGGGTCTATCCCTCCATGCTACTTTTTTGAATAGAAATCTTCACTGGATTCACTTCAAAGGAGGAAAAAAAATCTAGAGACAGTGATTCAAAGGAGGAGCAAAGAAAAAAAGCACAACCCAAAAAAAGTTGTTGAAATCAAATCAGATAAATACAAGAAAGTGCCAAACCACAAAAAAAAGGAATATTTACTCAATCATGGCAGCCATTATAATCATACAACCGGCTCGGAGAATTCCTTACGCCCCAGTTTTCAAAAGTTAACGGATGGCGAGAGGTAGAAAATGGGAGCAGCAGAGCATGGGTAAATGTGGAGTGATGGACAAACGGGTAGACAGAGCGAGGAGACAAAAGACAAAGAAACTCCTTACCTACTTGGAGCAAAACTTATGTGTTTGAGTGAAAAGCCCTGCGGCCTCTGCCTTAAGGCCCTGAGTCCATGCCTGGCCTATCACTTTAAGATCAAAAGCTAGCTCTTGCAAGACATATGGACTGAATAATGAATATGATTTAGTTCCACAAGGTTGAAAGGAGAGAGAATGATGTAACCCTTGCACTGTATACCCTTGATGTTCATTATAAATGCAAATACCAGCATTTATTTGGGACCGCCTGCTGCTTAGACTTGTGTTTACCGCAACCTTTATAAAAAAAAAAAATGTTTGTTACACAAACCAGCTAGCCTTTCTGTAGCTGTCAGTCTCTGCGATGGGACAGTGCATACATTAGCCTGTAAGCATAGTAGAGAGCAGCTTTTGTGATGTCTCATTTGAATAGGTTGACAGGCGGATGTTGGTGGGTAGGTGGCTGGTAATGAATTATAAATATGAGATGGGTAAGAGACTTCACCCCCACGCAAAAACTGCTGAGGAAAGGTGAGTCAAAAAAAGTCAAACTCAGCCAGAGAAAAAGGAGACTCTCAATCTGCAAGGGGCGGATGCTTCCACAGCATGATATCGTGGTGAAGCATTGTTCAAGCTAGATAAGGTATGTGTGATTGAGATATATGGAGGTAGATCGGTCTTAATTATCACAAATGCACATATGTGAGTCATGCATACACTGGACAAGATCCACACATGCACAGAATGATTTACGTAAAAAACAAAACAATCCACACAAACACAGAACAAGGGCCACACGTGCACAGAACAAAATTCACCATTTCTGGTCCATAAACAATTATAAATAAAATTATAATTGTTAATTTAATTTAAATAAATTAAATGTGGGATCTGGGGATAGCCATCCCACGTGGAGGACTTTCTTGTGAACGGGTTATACACGGGAGCATTGTGATTGGTGGCAAACCATCCCCCATTTAAAAAAAATAAAATTGTGTATCGAAGCACCTCAGGAGAGTCTCAAAAATCCACACACAAATGCAGGGAAGTTTAAAGACTACTGATAATTTGTAATTTCCTTTTTAATTGTTTATGGACCAGAAATACTTTGGTGAGTCTTGTTCTGTGCATGTGTGGATCTTGTGTGCTTGCTTAAATCGTGTTGTGCATGTGCAGATCTTGAGCTGTGTGTGTGTGTGGATTTTTTGTGCTTGTGTGAATCTTGCTGTGCATGTGTGGATCTTTCCCTGTGCATGTATGAATCATATATGTGTATTTGTGAAAATTGAGACCAATCTAGCTCCATATTTCTAAAAGTCAAGGTGCATCTAAATACATTGCTACTTTGCAAGAAATGTGACAGTGTGAGGCCCACATATAAAGTCCTGTACCGACAGCAGCAGATGTTCAATCTGTGTCATGTTGGTCATGATCATCGCCTCCAAACTTCAAATTTGTATAAACCAATATATAGTTTGCAATATATATTTGAAATTGTCTTACAACAATATTGAAATATTGTGTACTTTTCACAATAGAGTTTGCAATAAAGCTCAGCTCTATGCTTTTATATGGGGAAAAAGTCTGATTTTAATCTCAGAATTCTGACTTTTTTCTCAGAATTCTGATCTTAATCTCATCTTTTTCCCATATTAAACAGAAAGAAAATTTAAAAATAAGTTTTTTTGGACACACTCAACCTGTTAAGTACGGAAGAGGATTAGGGCCACTGTAAAAAATGTTAACAGCTTTTTAAATTTTATTTCAGTTTTATATGGGAAAAAAGTCTGACTTTAATCTCAGAATTCTGACTTTTTTCTCAGAATTCTTACTTAAATCTCACTTTTATCCCATATTAAACTAAAATAAAATTTTAAAATCTTAAGAATTCTGACTTTAATCTCAGAATTTTGACTTTAATCTCAGAATTTTGACTTTAATCTCAAAATCCTGACTTTAATCTCAGAATTCTGACTTTAATCTCAGAATTCTGACTTTAATGTCAGAGTTCTGACTTTAATGTCAGAGTTCTGACTTTAATGTCAGAGTTCTGACTTTTTTCCTATATAAAACTGAAATAAAACTTAAAAATCAGTTAACTTTTTTTTCCAGTCTTCTTCCGTAGCATGCAGCTCTGACTCCAATGTGGATTAATTTGCGACCTAAAACAGTAGCTTAATATCTGACTGATTATTTTTATAAAACGGTAACGCCATCTAGCTGCAATAATGTAGAACTACGACTTTGAGAGACTAAGGACAGAAGGAGCCTGGGTAAGGTTAATGTCATAATATACAGCAAACAACCACATTCGTTTAAATAACTTACTCAGTTGCTTTATTGTTTTTTTTTTTCTGAGTAAGAATTCACTGAAAACTCGTTAGTAGCCTATAAATGCAGCAGAAACTTAAGAGTTTAAGTATACCTGTCCACGTCTTCTGTTCGGGGATTAGGTAATATCTATTTCCCAAATGATCTGTCCCGACGTGTTCACGCACTACCCCAAAAGTTCGCCGTAGGAGGCCACCAATCTTGCTCATCTTTAGCGGACAATTCGGGGGTTCTGGAAAGAAATGTTTCCTCTTGGAACAGCACGCAGGTCTATGGACGCTCACGTTGCTACGACACAAACCCTGCCGTGTCATGATTGGCCATTTTTACAGCTCCAGCCAATCACAGAAGTTATTGTTTTTGCGTCACTAGCCAACATGGCGGCTTGTTGTTTAGAATCGATAGGAAGCTAGGAATATAGGAGCTTTTTCCTAAAATAACGAACAGAAGTTCAAAAGTATCACTTTTTAAATACACAGTACGATTTAAGGCAAACTGTATTTAAATAAAATGCTTCATATAATACTGTTGTATGTCCGCGTGGATTATAAGATGACTTCAAGTAGGTGACATGCTAGCTTTGAAAGTAGTTAGCTACCATTAGCACTAAATATAGTTTTGAATATCAGAACCAGATTTCTTTAGGTTGCAGCGATGTTAGGGTTCCTATCAGCGAGGCAGACTGGTCTGGACGATCCACTGCGGCTTAGACGTGCAGAATCAACGAGAAGGTGAGAAAAAATAAAAATAAAACAACTTCCCAGATTGATATTTGCTGCATTCGTGTGGTCTGGTAAAGATGACCCTTAGCATTTCTAAACTGGAACTGACCAGCGCGTTGTGTTCAAGTGCTTTTTTTTTTTATTGAGGAGAGAAACATGTTAAATCCAAAGATGAACATGTCCTGCTACTGGAGGAATTCATCGACTGACTGCCAGCGAACATCTGATGAAATTAAACAATAATGGTCATTTTGAAAATTACAGAAGTTTAAATGGTGATATTTTGTTAATATATGTCCCATCATTGTCACATCCATTAATTAAATAGCATATTTGTGTTAAATAGCATCACGTAAAAAGTTGCCTAATTCCGTAATTTTCCACAACTCACATCTTTGTCAGTGAAGCTGAGTGCTCCCACATCTCTTCCTTCATGGTGCACATCTACATTAAGATCCACAATTCTAAAAAAAAAAGAAGAAGAAGAAGAAAAGAAAAAAAAACAGAGCTCTGAGATTAAAGTCAGAATTCTGGGGTTAAAGTAGAATTCTGAGGTTAAAGAAGAATTCTGAGGTGAAAGTCAGAATTCTGAGATTAAAGTAGAATTCTGAGATTAAAGTCAGAATTCTGAGATTAAAGTAGAATTCTGAGATTAAAGTCAGAATTCTGAGATTAAAGTAGAATTCTGAGATTAAAGTAGAATTCTGAGGTTAACGTCAGCATTTTGAGGTTAAAGTAGAATTCTGAGGTCAAAGTCAGAATTCTGAGGTAAAGTAGAATTCTGAGACAAAGTCAGAATTCTGAGGCAAAGTAGAATTCTGAGGTAAAGTAGAATTCTGAGGTTAAAGTAGAATTCTGAGGCAAAGTAGAATTCTGAGGTAAAGTAGAATTCTGAGGCAAAGTCGGAATTCTGAGGCAAAGTGGAATTCTGAGGTTAAAGTAGAATTCTGAGGCAAAGTCGGAATTCTGAGGTTAAAGTAGAATTCTGAGGGGAAAGCCAGGATTCCGATATCAAACGAGGCCAGCTGATGGTAGTTTTATAATACCGGTAATTATTGACCTACTGCTGAATGAGTCAAAATTCGCAACAGTTTAAAAATTCTTCATGGTTTTTGGCAATAGGAACTTGAAATTAACATATCGGTCATAGTATGAAGTGAATATTTGAGCATTTTAGCACCTCAGCTAAATCAATACTAGTCAATTGGAACATGTTATTTAAAGGAAGCATACCAAAGATATGTATTTAAGTTCCTCATTCTTACTTTATTGGTAGGATTTGTTCTTTGGTTGCCTGGCGAATGTCATGTTATATGGTTAAATGATTCCATGTATATATTGCTGATTTGATGAAAATTTTGAACATACTTTACAATAATTTTGCACACATATTATGAAGGTGAAATATTGCGATACTAGTAAGCAGTCATAAAATGAAATGGTGCTGAACAGAGCCATGAGAAATATTTATAGCTTCACTTTTAAGATAACAAACTTGTATTTTTTGCAATCAACTGGTTTTCCTTAGATAAAAAACTTGGAATCAATTTGACTGGATGATCTGCTGAACTGTAAAGTGCTTTGAGATGACATGTGTTGTGAATTGGCACTATATAAGTAAACTGAATTTAAAAGAAATATTTCCCTCTATAACCTAACCCTTCTCCTAAAGTGTTTTCTAAAGCTGTTTTGCTGAAAGTTTCATGCATTTTTCTCCCCTTCTGTATCTTTGAAGAGTCCTCAGTCTGAAGTTAAATCCTGACAGAGATGTGGACCGAATCCACGGAAATGGGATTAATGCCATTGACATTGAAACAATTGAAGGGAGATAGTAAGTTTAATCAGTCATATTTTGCTACCTGTTACACTACCAATAACACGCAGTTAAAATTCAAGAAACACTCTTATAAACACTCTTATTGTTACGCCTGAACATCTTACCATGACTTGGATTTGTAAAAATCTAATTACTATTCTGATAAGTAATACAGAAAAAGTGTTAAAATCTCAAAAGGGCAAAAATATTTCCAGCATGGAATAGGAAATGGAGGAATCAGACAGAAATAAGAGAGAGGACAAGTAAAGTAGATCTGGTTTCAAAAGAAGGGGAGATGGATGACAGATCCGCACTTCAGACATGGTGCGTAGAATGAGGTAAACCAGCCTGGATTTGTTTAATCTTCAACACAGCTTACTCTTATACTAGCTCAGAGGTCTGTAGAGCTTGACAGCAGACTAGTTTAGCTTTTTGGTTCAGCAGTGTTGGGAAAAGGATACATCTTAAAGTTTGGAGACCCCCTGTCCTTGAGGATTTGAGTGTGAGACCACAAGTTTAAAATCACCTGGATAAGAGAACAGGATGGAACGAAATTAGGCAGACAAATTAGTTTCTGAAGCCAGATTTACCAACCTCTGGTAGATACATATTTTTGGACAAAGTATTTTTTTTCATTTGTCAGTATGTTGTCTGGAGGAGCAGACGGAGTCATTGTCATCTATGACCTCGAGAACCACAGTGGAAAACAACAATACACCTGCAGGCCAGTCAGGACTGTTGGAAGGTAAATATCAGCTTATTGACTTCATCCACTAGAGCGCAGCATTCCCTCATTATGTGTCTAACCAACTCACAAGATTGTTTCAAGGATGGAAGACAACATATGAAGAAGTAGTTCATTATATTTCTAACTATTTTACTATCTTAACAGAATACACTCTTTATCATGGCCAATTGGGAGTTTTTCACAGTTTTTTGTTTTTTTGTTTTTTGCTTTTACAGGTCAAGCAGACACGTCCACAGATTCAGCGTGGAGACAGTCCAGTGGTATCCTTATGATACAGGGATGTTTGTCTCCAGTTCCTTTGATAAGACCATGAAAGTGTGGGACACAGAAACATTAAAAGTAAGTCATGTGTCCTAAAAATTTTATAAACCAAGTGTCTTCATACTGTATGAATGGAGTCAGACTACTTTTAATTTGACCAGGAACCTGGAAAACTCATTTGGGAAACAAAATGGAAGAATGAAAATTGGAAATTCCTCTGAAATTAATGGAAAGAACAACACATGAGGAAAAAACGATCTGAAGTCACCCAATAGTATGTGGGAGAAAGCGTTATGGTCTGATGAAACTCAGGCTATATGTTTTGCATAAAACAACTGGCCCCAGCTAGAACGCTGAAGCTTTAAAGGAGACTCACCCTTTATCAGGAGAATTGCTCAAAGGATAGATCAACATCAGCAAAGCTCATTGGGGTGATGTGAAGAGGATGGCATATTAACACAGCCTTATGTAGATTTTATTTTGTACAACGAAAAAATAAAGCCAAGATCATTAAAATATCACTATGCTTACAGGCTATTTCCTGAGTCCTGCAGTAAAATGTTAGTTATTGTTATTTATCAACAGTTCTTTCCTTTTTTCCATCCTCTGGAATTGTTTTTAACCGAGTTTTCCAGGTTATAGATCACATAAAAGTTTTGATTTGATTTATATTGGTATATTGTAATATAATATATATTGTAATAATCCTTTCAAATCCTCTGTTTACCTGCATTAATAACCTTTCCTTCCCCCCTTCATCTCTGTTTCTGATTCTGTGCTTCATGCGTTCCACCCCTCTCTGCCACATCGTCCCATATGGCAGGCCCAGAGCTGTGCTAGAATTACACTGGCACCAGGTCTTGCTCCAGAGGTCGCAGAAGGGACAGAAAAAACAATCCACTAACCTTTGAATTAGTTTGCTGTGTTTGTGTCTGAGCCTCCGCCCAAACACACGGTCTCTCCTCTAATAAATGTGTTGTGTGTTTTGCATTGTTGTTCACTTTGTCTGTATTTTTTTTTCTTTGTGCCACATTTATATGCAAACAGATCCTCCTCTGTATGTGTGTGAGTGAGTGAGTGTTTGTGCAACCCCTCCCCCCTCCTCCCACTGGCACAGTCCATGCTGGTGCTGGCACTCACTGACAGACGCAGCACAGAGAAGCTTTTTATGTTTGGAGAAGAATTTGCATTGTAACCACCAGTGGCTGCCCTCTCAGCACCGGGCTACTGCACACTTTTTCCCTCAGATATTTTCTCCATCTTCAATTTTCTGATGATCTTAGCTCGGTGGTGGTGGTGGTGGTGGCGGGGTCCTCTCTTGTTCTGGTGAAATTCAGCCGTATTCAACTTTCTAGCTTCTGTTGTTAGTTTCATCTTTTGATCAGATTTTCATGCCTTTAATATGCAAATAATTACTGATGGGACCATAAATTGCTCTTTGTTATCTGTTTTTAAAATGTTTTTATTTTTTTAGCCAGCTGAAGTGTTCGAGTTTGAGGGCAACGTCTACAGTCACCACTTATCACCCATTGCAAGGAAACACAGTCTCATTGCAGGTGCTTTTTTTTTCTTTTCTCCAGCCACTTGTTGCATGAAAAGCTGCAGCCCGAGAATTTTCATGGGCTTTTCTGTTTCATTGTGTTCACAAGCAAAACCAAGGACAGAAATCTTATTAGCTTAGCTGTCTGTCATCTGTTTTTTTTTTTTTTTCATCAAGAAAAGTTCTGTGTGTCCCTACAAAATGGCACAGACTCAACCCTGCAGAACCTCCAGCTGTAGAAT